TTGTCATAATCATTTAAGCACACATTTATTCATAAGATTTTCCTTACTAGCTAGTTTTAATAATAAACTTTAATAATTTTTGTAAAAAAAATTGCATTTTATTTAAAATTATTCTTCTTCCTCTTAATGTCACAGTAATCAGACTTTCTATGCAGCCATTGATCATTATTATAACTATTTAATAGTAGCAATAATAATCAATATTATAAATTATGTATAATGCTGATGTTTCTTTTCTGCTTTCAAAATCTTGCAACGATTTGTATTTACTCCTTTACTCTTGGTTTTCATGACGATTTAGTTAGATTTTTTTTTTCTAAGATTAGCTCTATAGATTATAAACGCATCAGAATTTTCTCTCTAGTAAAGATTTAACATCATAAAACAAAGTAACTTGTAACATAAAATTATTTCCCACAAATTAATCTAATTTCAGGCAGATTTGGATTTAAAATGCTTTTTAATTCTATGATTAATTTTATCAAACTAAAATGCTGTGGAATGTACTAAATAAAAAGTGATATAATTCTGTCTCTCTGTCAGGCGTCTGCCTCCTGTGACGGCTCGGTGGTTGTGTGGAACATCGAGGAGCAGGTGTGTTTGTGTCGCCTACCGTCCATGACAGCAGATCTTTGTACTTTTTTTGCTTCCCAACATTAAATTCCCGTGGTTTCTCCCTCAGACTCAGGTGATCAGTTGGCCGCTGCTGCAGAAGACAAACGACGTCAGCAACGCCAAGTCTCTGTGTCGGTTATCCTTTCAGCCTGGAGCAGGGAAGGTCAGTCACCCAGCAGGGTGCTGCTGTGATTCCAGATGCTGGGGGGGGTTGATATTCAGAGCCATCATCTGTAAACAATAAACCTCTTCATGTGTGGATGTCAGTTTTTAGCTGTTCCTGTTGAAACCAAAGTGCACCTGTATGAGCGGGGATCCTGGGATCTCGTCGGCATGCTGTCTGATGATCTTCTCACACAGGTGAAGACAATGTTTGGCCATGAGGGGAAATGTTTGAATGAAAACAGTCCTGTTCATAGGAAAAGAAGAGTGGTGGTTTGGTTCTTAGTAGTGAAATAAACCCCTCTCCCTCTGCAGCCCATCAACGTGGTAGCCTGGTCCCCCTGCAGTACCTTCCTGGCAGCTGGCAGCATTGGAGGTTTGCTCACAGTGTGGGACGTGAACAGCAAGCTGTGTGTGGAAAGGTGTGTGTGAGATCCAGATTTAGTTTTTTTTACTTGGAAACCATTTTTTTTTTACCATGAGAGCACTTTGTTTTTTGAATGGACCACACCTCTCGGTTCCATTTCTGTTTTAAAACCATCTGGGCTCGTTTTCCTGCAGGCAGAAGCATGAGAAAGGCTTCACGGTGTGCAGCTTGGCCTGGAATCCTTCAGGCAGACAGATCGTCTACACAGACACAGAGGGCTGCCTGGGGATGTTGGACGGACTCGGTACCTCCACTGCTTCCTCCAGCATCACCAAGGTACCGCCGCCTTTCACCCCCACTTAGATGATTAGTTCTCTTTAGTCAAATCATCTGAGGGTTAAAAGCATCAACGCAAATTTAAGATTATGAAACGAGAGGGAAGTTGGTTCTTCTTTATATCGCGGTTCATTTCTGTATTGTTGACATCCTCAGGCACCAGCTACGAAACCTGCTAAAGACTACGACGACCTCTTTGATGAAGATGATGACAGAATGATGGACGAAGGGCTCAGTGATGCCAATTCACCAAAGAAGACTGTAGTCGGGGAGGAAGAGGACGAGGATGACTTCCTGATTCCATCCACGGGGCGCGTGAGGAACAGAGGAGCAATCCTGGACGATGAGAATTCACTGGGTGAGGAATAGCTGATAAAAACAATGAGTGTCATTACTAACCAGAGGAACGGAGGAGGTTCCAATATCACAGGGGTTTTTGGTTAAACATGTCAACCGATTATTTCATTAAACATTTTTATTGGTTGTTTGTGATAAGCTGTTGCGACTCAAGTCTTCAGCTCATTTTTTAAGATGATTTAAATAATTTAATGTAGGATATGAATTAGGGCTGGATGATCAGGACAAAACTGATGACCTGATGGGTTTCTAAATTTCTTGTGACAATCTAAATCATGGATGTCTAACTGGTTCCAGAAAAGGCCACATGGCTGCAGGTTTCCTTCCCAACCAAGCAATAGAAGATCAGACTCCAAATTATATTGAAATAACCATGAACATCGGAGACAAAATTATGTAATCCAATGTATGTTCAAAAGTCATAAAACGTTATTGATTAAAATCTGTTATTTCTATAATGGTGTTGAATTATTTTTCCAGCCCTAATTGAAATTGTTAGTTTTCTTTTCTACTCAGGTTTGTGTTATTAATAAATAAATGTGTTATTATTAAATTGTATTTTAACAACATATAAACCTGTAACAGAACAATAGGTTTAAAAAGCATCTTAAAGAACTTTATACAAACTAAATAAAAGGGGTTTTCTTTTTTAGACTTTGACGAAACAATGACTAAAACCTTACAGGAGAAAGTTCAAACTGAATCTACCTGTAAGAGCTCCTTAAATGTTTTTAAATTGTTTGTTTGCTTTCAGACACAGGGTCTCTTAAACTTGGTCAAGAGAAGTTTGTTGACGACGATGACGATGCTGGCAGCTCTGTGGCCCCTGCGGCGGCCCCTCTGATGCCCCTACGCCCTGTCTATGAGGGTCCAATGCCGACTCCTCCCCAGAAGGCCTTTCAGCCCAGCTCCACGCCAGCTCACCTCACGCACCGCTTCATGGTAGGACGCGCTGCAGATGTGATTTTTTTTTTTTTTTTTCCGATGCTGGTTTTCCACTTTCATACAGCCTGAACTGTGTCTCAGGTGTGGAACTCAGTGGGGATAGTGAGAGGCTACAATGACGAGCAGGACAACGCCATTGATGTGGAGTTTCATGACACTGCTGTCCACCACGCCATGCATCTCACCAACTCTCTGGGTCACACCATGGCCGATCTTTCCCAGGAGGCCGTTCTGCTGGCCTGCCCCAGCACTGAAGAGCTTGCGAGGTGAAATTGGCTCTTCTCTGGTCTTCTTTTCTTCTTTTTTGTTTGTTCCAGGTAAACTCTCAAACGGCTCCTGTTTGTTCCCAGTAAACTGCAGTGCCTCCACTTCTCCTCCTGGGACACCAACAAGGAATGGATGGTGGACCTGCCGAAAGGCGAGGATGTGAAGGCGGTCTGTCTGGGTCATGGCTGGGCGGCCGTCGCCACTACCTCTCTGCTGCTTCGGCTATTTTCTATCGGTGGCGTCCAGAAAGAGATCTTTAGCCTACCGGGGCCGGTGGTGTGCATGGCCGGACACGGAGAGCAGCTGCTGGTGGTTTACCATCGAGGTACGAAGCTCCACCTTCAGGGACATGGTTATTATCTAACTTACTGCAAGATTTGAGAAAGGAATCAGTTTGCTACTATATCCAAACTTTTCATTTCATTTTATATTTCTGATTTGCCAATATGTTGTTCCCAGATTTTAGATTCTCTCTGCTATAATTATGACTGTTATTCATAATAATAATAATAAACTTTATTTAGTGAAGAACTTTATCAGTAAAGATGCTTAAAATACTGTGTCTATATGTAGAAACTTGTTCCATCAGAAACTGAATCTGAATTTCCCTGACTGAATCTTTATTCGTTATCTAAAATGAAATGCATTAGTTTGAATATGAAATCTGTTGAATTGAATCGGAATTTTATGATTTGAAACTTTATAAACTTTTTTTGTATGCTCTCTGAGTATACAAACAAAATTTCGTTTTCAGACAGTGAGTGAGCAGCAGCTTAGCAGTAAAATGAACATTTCCATTTCATGAAGTCCAGCAGTGATCAAATGTAAACAGTGTGGGAGAAAAAAAACATGGTGCAAAAGGTATTGATGTGGATTTAATGCATTTTTTTGGTGTCAGCCAACCAGGTCCTTTAGCAAAAGAGTAATCAAACAGATTCACAGGTTGACATTTCTGCCCATATTTCTTCATTGTTAACATTAGGATAGCAGTTAGTCTTCTCCTTTAACATGTTTCAGGGTTGGACTGCTGCTCTTATTTCCACTCTGTAGCTCACTTCAGAGGCTTTTGTAAATGATAGCTTATTGAAGATTTTATGTAGGGTAACGGTTATGATGCTCTAAGGCCCTCCTTTAGGTTTCTTCTCCACATACTTGTTCAAATAAAGCCACAGTCTCGACTTTTTAAGAAACTGGCAAATAAGGAGAACCGACTGGTTACAGTAGTTCAGGGTGCATACTGCCATAATTTTTAGCATAAGAAAAGGGTTTCTAACAAACTGGTTCAGTGATTCTTCTCAAATACATTAGGCACCTGCATGTAGGGATATTTTATATCAAACTGATCAAAAACGAATCTTTAACCATTTAGAGCTGAGGTCTTCAACAGGGGGTACGCGACCCCTAGGGGGTCCACTGAGGTACTGCATGGGGGTCTCGAAAGTTTTGGTTGATTGCTTTTTTTTATATTCCCCCCTGCAATTTTTTCCACTAATTGAAATGTCTTTAAATACACATAAACATCAATTCAACACACTGTAGTAAACAGATAAATGGAGGCAGAAGATGTCTTTCTGTCATAAATGCACACATTCAGCAACACACAGGAGCTCTTTCAACTGGGCACCGTTTCAGTCACAACACCTGTCCCATCAACCAGGAATCACAAACAGAAATACTTTAATAATCCCAGGGAGAAATTACTTTCCTTACATGACACCATCTTTAACAGTGACTATAGGACCAGTTTGATATAAAACGATTTCATACAATATATAAAATTAGGGGGTCCCCGCTCCATCTCGCCATCAGTTTGGTGGTCCTTGGCCTGGAAAATGTTAAAGACCCCTTATTAAGAGCCTAAAGTGCCCACTAATATGCCTGTACAATAGTTTTAGTTTTGTCTTGGGACTAGGGCTGCACCTTACTATTATTTTACAAATTTATTAATTTGGCGATTATTTTTCCGATGAATCGATGAATAATCGGATAGCCAAAGGTTTCTTAAAGAAGATTTTTTACTGAATGAAACCAGGTGAAACTGAAACTTTTTCCGTTGTGGAAAAGGTTTCGGGTGTGAATGGCGCATATTGACACCCAAAAAAGTATTTTTTTATCTTAAATGCAAAATGTTTATATGTTGTTTTANGGAGCAGAGCCAGACCGAACTTCCCCGAACTCAAACCTTGTGGGCGGGACTAAGTTCTGACTGGCACCCAGGCTAGATGCTGATAGCTGTAAGAAGAAATCTATAATAAAGAAAACAGCTATCAGTGACTGGGGAAACTTTACCTTGCAGGCACACTGTGAAAAAAATGTCATCTTCTATAGTACCCCATTTAGTCTGGCCTTTTGAATGCATGCTGATAACGGTCTGAACATGGTAACCCAGATAACTATTGAGGGTAAATGGAACGCAGCAGAACTAGACTGTGCCAGACACAACCAAACCGCGCTAGTTGTGGCTCAGTTCTCTGATTAAAAAAGAGCACATGAGCAGACTGCATCATCTTCTGTTTACAGTCAGCTGATTAATTTTGCGTGTTTTTCGCCGTGTCCGGCTTTGCAACTCGCAGATCTCTTCACCTGTTCACAACACAAACTTCTTCTAAACAGCATTATAAGAGCGTGGTGGGACCTGGGATGATGCAGAGACCAAGACAGGTGCCTTCTTTACCTGACATTCCAAAAACAACGAAATATCACTAATATAAACAAGCATACGTTCATGAATGTTATGGGCGCTGCCATTTTGGTTTCTGTAACCATTCCCATCTTGAGAGCTGTAGTATCGTGGACCACGGATAGCGCTAGTGTGATGTGTAAATGGTTGTAAGGAACCAAGCTCGGCACGATTAACCGATCCAAGCTCGGTCCGAACTTGGCATGGATCGATTTCAGAGGGCTAGCATAAATGGAGCATAAGATGCAACTTAAAAGGGAGTATTATTAGGAAAAAAGCAATTTTATGTTATACTCGGGTTTGGGTTTTTTGACCTAACAGCCACTGGAGGACTCTATAACATTACATAACAATATAAAATAATAAAAAATACAGGAAGCATGACTCTCATGCATCCTGCTATATCTCAGTTGTGATAAAATATGAATATGTAGCCCTTAAGATTTACCTCAGATGTTACCCTTTAATGTGTGCTTTGAATATAATGTCGCTTTTTATCTCTTGATTATAAAAAAGGTTAAAAAGATTATATTGAAATAACAGGAAACCATGAACATTGGAGACAAAATTATGTAATCCAATGTATGTTCAAAAGTCATAAAACGTTATTGATTAAAATCTGTTATTTCTATAATGGTGTTGAATTATTTTTCCAGCCCTAATTGAAATTGTTAGTTTTCTTTTCTACTCAGGTTTGTGTTATTAATAAATAAATGTGTTATTATTAAATTGTATTTTAACAACATATAAACCTGTAACAGAACAATAGGTTTAAAAAGCATCTTAAAGAACTTTATACAAACTAAATAAAAGGGGTTTTCTTTTTTAGACTTTGACGAAACAATGACTAAAACCTTACAGGAGAAAGTTCAAACTGAATCTACCTGTAAGAGCTCCTTAAATGTTTTTAAATTGTTTGTTTGCTTTCAGACACAGGGTCTCTTAAACTTGGTCAAGAGAAGTTTGTTGACGACGATGACGATGCTGGCAGCTCTGTGGCCCCTGCGGCGGCCCCTCTGATGCCCCTACGCCCTGTCTATGAGGGTCCAATGCCGACTCCTCCCCAGAAGGCCTTTCAGCCCAGCTCCACGCCAGCTCACCTCACGCACCGCTTCATGGTAGGACGCGCTGCAGATGTGATTTTTTTTTTTTTTTTTCCGATGCTGGTTTTCCACTTTCATACAGCCTGAACTGTGTCTCAGGTGTGGAACTCAGTGGGGATAGTGAGAGGCTACAATGACGAGCAGGACAACGCCATTGATGTGGAGTTTCATGACACTGCTGTCCACCACGCCATGCATCTCACCAACTCTCTGGGTCACACCATGGCCGATCTTTCCCAGGAGGCCGTTCTGCTGGCCTGCCCCAGCACTGAAGAGCTTGCGAGGTGAAATTGGCTCTTCTCTGGTCTTCTTTTCTTCTTTTTTGTTTGTTCCAGGTAAACTCTCAAACGGCTCCTGTTTGTTCCCAGTAAACTGCAGTGCCTCCACTTCTCCTCCTGGGACACCAACAAGGAATGGATGGTGGACCTGCCGAAAGGCGAGGATGTGAAGGCGGTCTGTCTGGGTCATGGCTGGGCGGCCGTCGCCACTACCTCTCTGCTGCTTCGGCTATTTTCTATCGGTGGCGTCCAGAAAGAGATCTTTAGCCTACCGGGGCCGGTGGTGTGCATGGCCGGACACGGAGAGCAGCTGCTGGTGGTTTACCATCGAGGTACGAAGCTCCACCTTCAGGGACATGGTTATTATCTAACTTACTGCAAGATTTGAGAAAGGAATCAGTTTGCTACTATATCCAAACTTTTCATTTCATTTTATATTTCTGATTTGCCAATATGTTGTTCCCAGATTTTAGATTCTCTCTGCTATAATTATGACTGTTATTCATAATAATAATAATAAACTTTATTTAGTGAAGAACTTTATCAGTAAAGATGCTTAAAATACTGTGTCTATATGTAGAAACTTGTTCCATCAGAAACTGAATCTGAATTTCCCTGACTGAATCTTTATTCGTTATCTAAAATGAAATGCATTAGTTTGAATATGAAATCTGTTGAATTGAATCGGAATTTTATGATTTGAAACTTTATAAACTTTTTTTGTATGCTCTCTGAGTATACAAACAAAATTTCGTTTTCAGACAGTGAGTGAGCAGCAGCTTAGCAGTAAAATGAACATTTCCATTTCATGAAGTCCAGCAGTGATCAAATGTAAACAGTGTGGGAGAAAAAAAACATGGTGCAAAAGGTATTGATGTGGATTTAATGCATTTTTTTGGTGTCAGCCAACCAGGTCCTTTAGCAAAAGAGTAATCAAACAGATTCACAGGTTGACATTTCTGCCCATATTTCTTCATTGTTAACATTAGGATAGCAGTTAGTCTTCTCCTTTAACATGTTTCAGGGTTGGACTGCTGCTCTTATTTCCACTCTGTAGCTCACTTCAGAGGCTTTTGTAAATGATAGCTTATTGAAGATTTTATGTAGGGTAACGGTTATGATGCTCTAAGGCCCTCCTTTAGGTTTCTTCTCCACATACTTGTTCAAATAAAGCCACAGTCTCGACTTTTTAAGAAACTGGCAAATAAGGAGAACCGACTGGTTACAGTAGTTCAGGGTGCATACTGCCATAATTTTTAGCATAAGAAAATGGTTTCTAACAAACTGGTTCAATGATTCTTCTCAAGTACATTAGGCACCTGCATGTAGGGATATTTTATATCAAACTGATCAAAAACGAATCCTTAACCATTTAGAGCTGAGGTCTTCAACAGGGGGTACGCGACCCCTAGGGGGTCCACGGAGGTACTGCATGGGGGTCTCGAAAGTTTTGGTTGATTACTTTTTTTTATATTCCCCCCTGCAATTTTTTCCACTAATTGAAATGTCTTTAAATACACATAAACATCAATTCAACACACTGTAGTAAACAGATAAATGGAGGCAGAAGATGTCTTTCTGTCATAAATGCACACATTCAGCAACACACAGGAGCTCTTTCAACTGGGCACCGTTTCAGTCACAACACCTGTCCCATCAACCAGGAATCACAAACAGAAATACTTTAATAATCCCAGGGAGAAATTACTTTCCTTACATGACACCATCTTTAACAGTGACTATAGGACCAGTTTGATATAAAACGATTTCATACAATATATAAAATTAGGGGGTCCCCGCTCCATCTCGCCATCAGTTTGGTGGTCCTTGGCCTGGAAAATGTTAAAGACCCCTTATTAAGAGCCTAAAGTGCCCACTAATATGCCTGTACAATAGTTTTAGTTTTGTCTTGGGACTAGGGCTGCACCTTACTATTATTTTACAAATTTATTAATTTGGCGATTATTTTTCCGATGAATCGATGAATAATCGGATAGCCAAAGGTTTCTTAAAGAAGATTTTTTACTGAATGAAACCAGGTGAAACTGAAACTTTTTCCGTTGTGGAAAAGGTTTCGGGTGTGAATGGCGCATATTGACACCCAAAAAAGTATTTTTTTATCTTAAATGCAAAATGTTTATATGTTGTTTTACGAATTTGGTACCATTGCTGCTCAAGGTGGGTTACTCTGTCAGCTAAAGGCACATTTTACACTCCAGCTAACGATTAATAGATTACTAAATTAGTTGATTACTATTTCAATAGTCTATTAATCAAGATTTTTTGTCTAAGCCCTATGTGGGACCCATTTGGTGGATTTAGCCATCAATCATTAAAAGGCGCACAGCATCACAGATCCTCCACCATGCATTATATTCAGCATGTATCTGTTTTTCAGTGCTTAACCTCCTTCACTGTTTGTTGCTGAAAAGCTCAATCTTCGTCTCCTCTGACCAAAGCTGTTCCTGTGAAAGTTCCGGTTTTGTTTGCAATGTCTACATGTTGGTATTAGTGACGGTAGGACAGAGGAAAAAAAAAAATCCAAGCTTTCTTTTTCATCCATTAGGACTTTGAACAGTTTGTTGTAGGTCTGACTCTCTATGGATGATTGTGCAGATAAACTGGGGTCCTCGTATTCTGACCACTGGAGAGAGAACGACTCTGTTCCACAGCAAATCTTTATATTCCTAACGTAATCGAAAATACAAAACCCAAAAAAAGTTATTTAGTCCTTTTTTGTTTAAAAGGAACTCAACGGAATGAAAAATTGGGCTTCCTGTTTTTAAAACCATTATTTAATCACAAGATTGATCTACATCGTGGCCACCCGTTAGTTTTCTTTGCTCAGCCACATTTTTATTTTTATTCTTATATTCATGTCCTCAGGAACGGGTTTTGATGGAGAACAGGCTCTTGGCGTTCAACTGCTGCAGTTCGGTCGCAAAAAGAGGCAGCTGATCAACGGCGAATCTCTCCCCCTCTCTCCCAAATGCTACCTGGCCTGGCTCGGGTTTACCGCTGAAGGTCAGACTCTGCTCTCCGTCTCTAATGTCTCAAAGGGTTTCCCTTTAGATGGTTCGTTGTGAAGACGGTTTCTCTGTTTCCAGGCACGCCATGCTACGTGGATTCTGACGGGCTGGTGCGGATGCTAAACCGCTCGCTGGGCAATACGTGGACACCAGTTTGTAACACCAGGGAGACCTGCAAGAGCAAATCGGATCACTACTGGGTGGTCGGTGTGCATGAGAATCCACAGCAGCTCAGGTGAGCCCCAGAAGTCAAAGTCTAAGGCCCCGTCCACACGAAGTCAAAACGAACACGAAACGCTAATGTTTTCCAGAACGTTTGTCGTAAAGACGGAGACG